CTTGAGCCTTTTTTCGGAAAATTGGGACCAATTTTGTATGAACATTGTGTCTGACTTCCATTTTTTAACGTGAGGCCTGGATCCAAAACAAACTATTTTTGAAGTTCTTTTTTATATGACTGAAGAGAAGAAACATGAAAGTTGTTATGTGTGGCGAAGTATTTAAGAAAGGAAACTTAAATCAAAATAATATATCATGTAAATGACAAACTGCATTTGAAACATTTTTGATACTCGAGTAAGACCAAGGCATAGCAATAGTCATGCAATGCTAATACTAAAAAATTTACGAACTCTAATCATAATAAAGAATCCGTTTATATATCATTTCTAAGACGAGATCCCAGAGGGATGGCCGTCTTGAAGCCATTTTGTTTCTTCTGATGAGTCCCCAAAATCAACAAGCACGAGGAGAGATCAAAGGGAACATACCTATGAAATTATAGAGATATCCATTCAGTACTTCTTAAGAAATAGCACTAACAATCTTTACTAGACAAAATCCAAAAAGGTTGCCTGACGACCAGGTTTTGTGATCAATACCAAGCTCAAATAGGCATGACTAGGGATCTAAAGGAACCTATACATGAAATTTGAGAACAATCTATTGAGAAGTTCTCATAAAATAGTGATAAATTTTCGAAGTCAAAATCGAAGATGACTGCCTTTTGGCCATTTCGTTTTTTCTATTCAGTACCAAGATCAAACGGGCACAACTAGGGATCAAGGAAAGCATACACATGAAATTTGAGAAAGATCTATGCTGTAGTTCACAAGAAATAGCAATAACAAACTTTAAGATGTCTGCCATTTTGTTTTTCTGATCAGTCGCATAATCAAATTTGCACAACTAGGGACCTATATATGAAATTGAAGAAAGTTCCTACATGTACTTCTCAAGAAATAGCAATAACAAACTTGCAAATCAAAATCCAATATGGCCACATTTCGGCCATTTTGTTTTTCTTATCAGACCTAAAATTAAATGGGTACAACTAGTGACAAAGGGGGCATTACATATGAAATCTGACAGAGACCTATCTGGTACTTCTTAAGAAATAGCGATAACAATCTTTCAAAGTCAAGATCCAAGATGGCCGCCTTTCGAAGGGTTGTATTCCTGTTTATACACATAGAAAATGCATAGATACCATAAATTGTAATGATTAATTACATTCTGATATTTCAAATTAATAACATATTTCCAGATGTTTTGTCCAGTCGATTTCTTTAGTTACAACATACTGAAATCCGGATATTATGTAACAATTTGCTTTGTTTATTGTGAGAAGGGAAAACATTAAATGGCATTTACCTTCATTGTATCAGTCCCACATAAGTGTATATTCCTTGTCACTGATATGTTTGGTGATAACGATTATGTTGCAGTAGGTCATTTTGTGATAATACAGTTTATCTTTGGTTTGATGAAATAAAAATGCTGTTAAGAAGGGTGCATTGGAGTCTATTCTGAATCGCTCATGCGTCAAGATATTGAACATAAAATTTTGAGAGTATTTCAAGTTGTAGACTGAATTATTTTGACATTCAAATTTTTTCCGGTCTGGAGTCGAACTCAAAACCAACATTTGAAAGTTGAACATCAGAATAATTCTGACCATCCAACATGGCAAGAAAGTAGCTGTTGGTAAAGCTGTAAGGCAGCTAATGCATAGTACCCACGTAACTGGTTTACAGGCGATTAGCGTGTCTCAATTAAAACACCGCTGACTTTCCATCATTTGAAACTAAACCAAATGTTGTATAACGAGTAACTACTGGGGAGAGGAACTTCCCACTTAACTGAACTCATCCTTACATTTAAGAAACTTGTCCTTACATTTTACAAAAAGAGCTATTTGTAGTTCTAGTAACCATTGGAGAGAGAAACTTCTAGTTTAACTGAACTCATCCTTACATTTAAGAAACTCATTCTTACATTTAAGAAACTCATCCTTACATTTTACAAAAAGAGTCATTTGTAGTTCTAGTAACCATTGGAGAGAGGAACTTCTGGCTAAACTGAACTCATCCTTACATTTAAGAAACTTGTCCTTACATTTTACAAAAAGACCTGTTTGTAGTTCAAATGTCTGTTTGCTAGGTATATCACCCCATGAACACTCAGGGTCATTTTGAGGAATGTTCTTGTAGTAGCTGGTAACTACCTTCTGAACAGCATAATGGAGGCCCATCATGATCCGTAGAAAATAGGTTAATTAGCCTTGACCACAGACTGGTTCATTCTTCTGCTGTCCGAATATTCTATTTAACTCAGCTAAATCAAAACGTTTAGAAATATTTAAAAGTTGATCATTGATTTCACAAGAAGTAAGTATCAGCAAAAAAAGATTGCCATAATAACATGACATTTCGGAATACAAAATTATTTAGGAATGTAAAACTTGTAATAACATGACATTTAGGAATACAAAATTATTTAGGAATGTAAAACTTGTAATAACATGACATTTCGGAATACAAAATTATTTAGGAATGTAAAACTTGTAATAACATGACATTTAGGAATACAAAATTATTTAGGAATGTAAAACTTGTAATAACATGACATTTAGGAATACAAAATTATTTAGGAATGTAAAACTTGTAATAACATGACATTTAGGAATACAAAATTATTTAGGAATGTAAAACTTGTAATAACATGACATTTAGGAATACAAAATTATTTAGGAATGTAAAACTTGTAATAACATGACATTTAGTACAAAATTATTTAGGAATGTAAAACTTGTAATAACATGACATTTAGGAATACAAAATTGTTATAACAACATGTTATTTAGGAATGTAAAACTTGTAATAACATGACATTTAGGAATACAAAATTGTTATAACAACATGTTATTTAGGAATGTAAAACTTGTAATAACATGACATTTAGGAATACAAAATTGTTATAACAACATGTTATTTAGGAATGTAAAACTTGTAATAACATGACATTTAAGAATACAAAATTGTTATAACAACATGTTATTTAGGAATGTAAAACTTGTAATAACATGACATTTAGGAATACAAAATTGTTATAACAACATGTTATTTAGGAATGTAAAACTTGTAATAACATGACATTTAGGAATACAAAATTGTTATAACAACATGTTATTTAGGAATGTAAAACTTGTAATAACATGACATTTAGGAATACAAAATTGTTATAACAACATGTTATTTAGGAATGTAAAACTTGTAATAACATGACATTTAGGAATACAAAATTGTTATAACAACATGTTATTTAGGAATGTAAAACTTGTAATAACATGACATTTAGGAATACAAAATTATTTAGGAATGTAAAACTTGTAATAACATGACATTTAGGAATACAAAATTGTTATACCAACATGTTATTTAGGAATGTAAAACTTGTAATAACATGACATTTCGGAATACAAAATTGTTTAGGAATGTAAAACTTGTAATAACATGACATTTAGGAATACAAAATTGTTATAAGAACATGTTATTTAGGAATGTAAAACTTGTAATAACATGACATTTCGGAATACAAAATTGTTATAACAACATGTTATTTAGGAATGTAAAACTTGTAATAACATGACATTTAGGAATACAAAATTGTTATAACAACATGTTATTTAGGAATGTAAAACTTGTAATAACATGACATTTCGGAATACAAAATTGTTTAGGAATGTAAAACTTGTAATAACATGACATTTCGGAATACAAAATTGTTATAAGAACATGTTATTTAGGAATGTAAAACTTGTAATAACATGACATTTCGGAATACAAAATTGTTATAACAACATGTTATTTAGGAATGTAAAACTTGTAATAACATGACATTTAGGAATACAAAATTGTTATAAGAACATGTTATTTAGGAGTGTAAAACAGTTGTAATGACATGACATTTCGGAATACAAAATTATTTAGGAATGTAAAACTTGTAATAACATGACATTTAGGAATACAAAATTGTTATAAGAACATGTTATTTAGGAATGTAAAACAGTTGTAATGACATGACATATATGACTATAAAACAGTTGTAATAACATGACATATATGACTATAAAACAGTTGTAATGACATGACATTCAGGAAGTAGATACCTATCTTCTCTAAACTGAGGATTATCCCTTCACATTTTCTCTCGTGAATTAGTTTTGGTGTGTTACTACCTTCACCAAGGTATGGGTCACAAACTGTTTCTTCTTTCATCGTCAGTGTTATTACTCCAATATTTTATACATGGATGTGTTCTGTGATTATCCTGCGGCATCTCCTTATGTTCAATGTTCACGCATATAACGTCCAGACTTGTCCTCTATTCCTATATACTGTTTTGTTTCTGTTTATTTAAGGAATCTTTATAATTTCTTTTCCAAATATATCATTCTGATATATGTATCACTCCCTAATTAAGTTATACCATTTTTCCTCTATTTGTGTCATTCGCTCCTTGTCCAAGATACAACACCTATTTGTATCTATTATGATGATGAATACCACAACATATTACCCTGGTGTGAGTTCAGCTGTTCTGTAAGTGTTTAAAACTATCGAAACATGTAAACATAATGATTTATTTTTAACAGTACTAACTTTGACGGAGCTAGCGAGTATCTGAGAACAGCAGACTTTTGAACTACAATGCAGTATTATTGATACAAATGGCATTATTCCTGATGAAATCCTCCTTAGATCTATTTCTATCCTGTAACTGCTGGTCCTTACGATGGAATTTAGATTACACAAAAACGTCGGAAATGAAGCAAATGTCAACAGCTATTAGGAGATCCAAATGTATTTATGCGAAAATACAGTCATACTCGGAGTATGTATGCTCCCAAACAATATTTTGACATTCTTAACGACCGTCAACACATAAAAGGTCATTAGGGCCATGAAACGGTACAACACAGTGATTCAAAATAATATTTTCAAAAAAGCGTTAGGTAACACACAGTTAAAACGATAACAATATGAAAACACATCACCAAATTTATTCTTTAAAATCATGCATATAATGCTGTTTGATAAAATGATAGATAGAATTAAATACAGTATATATGGTAGATTTGACTTGTATGAAACTACTGCTGCTGACAATGATACAAACACCATTTAATATCCAGTTTCAATCAATCGTGTTGAAGTAAAACAATTAATACAGAAGACACACCCAGTAACAAAAAATATTCATGACATGTGCCAAGTTAAAAAATGAATACATCAAAATCTTTTTCATCCTTCTCAGATTATTCATCACATTAATGAATTGAAAAAATTCAATATTTTTACATATACATCTTTAATACTATAATGTTGATCATTGTCTGTTAATGGTCATCATTGTCTTATTTTCCGACTCACATGGTAAGGACTAAAATTCTGCATTATACATGTACATGTAGTTACATTGGTTACACCATTTGTTTATAGGCTTTACCATGAGTGTACATAAGACACAAAAGTAAACAGCATCTTTTAATACAAATTTAGAGTAAGACACATTAGTGCTAAACAATAAACTAAACTGCACCATACAGTTGTTTCATCCTTCTATGACTAGTCAGTGATGCTGCATCATCCAGCTGTTTTGTCCTTCTAGGACTTGTCCGTGATGCTGCATTATGCAGGTGTTTCGTCCTTCTACGACTCGTCAGTGATGCTTCATCATACAGCTGTTTCGTCCTTGCACGACTCGTCAGTGATGCTTCATAACTGTCTTTAGTTTGTGTTTCCATGACTGTGGTTTCATGATTGGGATGTGTATATCCTTGGTAAGTCTGTGGTATATAACTGGCACAGTTGTGACATCAGAGGGGACACCTGGTAGTGGGTCAATGGACACTTTCCTTTTGGACTGCAGATTTACTACCTTGGTCAGGATGGACAGAAAGCAAGTATTCTCCAGGTATTTACCATCATCTTCTTTCAGGTAACCATTGATGACATCACAAAGGCTTCTGACTAGAAATCCACCGGTTTGGTCATTCCGAAAAGCATATTTCCCTTAAAAACAAGCACATGTTCCATGAAAGTAGGTATCTTGGATTAATTTGGTAAAACTAGAAACAACAGCCAATCTTTTAAGTATAACTTGTCAGATTGACAACATTTTCCCAGTGTTTATCATTGATATCATCCAGGGGTGCTTTCTTCCAGCAAAGTCTCACTTTACTCTCAATAATAAAAGCCAGCTACTTACCTGGAGTTGATGCAAACATAATCAGCATATCTTCATAGCAAGGAATGGATATCACAGTGCCTGGCTCCTTATTAGGTGGTTTGTCCACTCTGTGCTTTTTTTTAAGTTTAAATATTGAATCTGTTTCTGTAATAGGTCTCTCGGTGTCTTCGCACTTGTTATCATCACTGTCATCACTTCCTACATGTTCTTTCTGCTTATGGTACAGAACTGTCTTCTCTGGGTGCCGCTGCTGAATTTTCAGTCGTCTATCATTGTAGTAGTTAGTGAGATCAAACTCTTCGCGGTCTGAAAGACCATCATCTGTGTCTGTATCACTATCCGAAACATCGACATCTTAAACAAGTAATGACAAATGTGTGATAACTCAAATGTGTTTATTAAATTATACATGTAATTCTATCTTGTGTGGATATGTAACTGTAACACCATGTGACAAACATTAAAGTTAAATCATAAACAATAGGGGAAAATATCAAATGAACAATCCTACACTCGAACACTGAAGATAGAAATGTAAATATCAATGGAAATTTTCTGTTTAACAGTGACTCGCATATCCAGGCCCTTTTTTATATACCAATATGATATACAACTGTATCATAGTGCCATAAACAAATAAAAACACAATCTTGCATTAATACTATGCCCCTATGGATTATCATTATAACAGAGGTCACTATTTATCTCAATGCCTCCGATAGGATGCGAATTCAAGACACCCGGCTTACTAGTCTGATGCTCAACTGATCGAGGTACAGAGGAGTTCTCCCTAGCCAAGCGGTATACTGCAGCTAGTATTTTACCAGGGTTATGCTATGAACAAACTTACTGTCCTCTTTTTGTGTAGCGACATCCATCTTACTGCTACCGTCTGTCTCGTCTTTGTTACCTACAGGGACCGGCTGTTGTGGAACTGACTTCATCAGTACACCAAAGTCATGCTTTTCTGCCCTCTTGCTCTTATCATTTTCTCTACATGCCTGTTAATGACATGGTCAAAATTACAATCCATTGTTGCAAAGAATCTGAGACATGTACAAAATTGTGTCAGTCAACTTGATTTAATGTATTGTTTTGCAGAGTGTAAGTAATAGCCTACCTGTATAAAGAAGAGCTTTGGTTTTTTTCGTAAAGCTTTAGAGTCACAGACAATAGACACGATGTCATTGGTGTTGATCTCATTTCCCTTACCATCCACAATGAAATGTTGTTGGACTTTTTCAACCTCTTTTTCTATGCCATGCGAACATATCACACACACAAAGCATGATCGGTCCTCTAAGGTTGGATGGCTGCAGGCTGAGACAAATAAGTGAAGTGTACTTGAATACCTATGATTTTCTCACATCTATAACATATATGAGGAATAATAATGAGTTGTTACTTTGATAACATTGTGTACTGACTTTAAAATAAATTATGGAAAATGTAAAGTAAATATAGTTCATACGAAAATAAAGTAATTAGGAAGTTAGGATATCCTGAAGAAACACTCACTACAGGCTTCATAGAAATGAAATAAAATTATGTAAAATTCTATTTAAGATTTCACGACTCATTGTTAACACTATTAACCAATTTCTCACAATTTACCATCTTGAAGTTTCTCTATGATCCCTTCATTCTTAAAACTCCGAACCTTGAATGACAGATTCTTAAACATTCGTGTGAGAGCTTTATATTCTTCATCTGCACCCTTTCTATCTTCATAATCATTTGCTTTTTCATAATTTTTATTCACAAATATATATGCTATCCCACGGCCGTACGATTTCAAGTCATATGACATTCCGTCCCTTGATGCCATCTGCAGCACAAATGAAATAAATAGTCAGCAAATGAAAAAAGACACATTATACAGATGTAAAATATGATAGATGCATCACCTTAATCTGCATAACTTTATAAAACAAGTAATGAAGATAATGTTGATAAGGTTGTTTCATTTAATGACTAGCGTCAGCAACTTGTAGGGGCGATAATCCAATTTAGAAAATGAATGATAAACAAAAGTGTCATATCAGAAAATATCCTTAAAGCTGATAATATAAATATTATCTTACAATATTACCTATCATATTCCGGTATATGGTACGGCTGATCAAAATGTAAATATATGTAGGTGTGAAGTCCATATGGTCCGATTGTTCTATATTGTGAAACATGGCATTGAATACTGAACGTGATGAATTATTTATCTACGTGAACGTGACTATCTCTTGTCCAATCGCTAAAAAGGGGAAACCCTGATATATTACGAAATGATAAGCTATAGAATTCCCGAACCTTATATAGAGCATTATTTCTCCTTCTCTTGTTCAAAATGGCTTTAGGCCAACTTAGTAGATATGATAAAAAGATTACTACCTTTAAAAGCAGTTTTTAGGTCATTCACAACGTTTTTTCTCTTGTTTTCATTGTTTTGTTTTACGTATGTTGTGTCACATTCGTTACCCATAATGGTCTAGTACCAACTTGGAATCGGAAATATCCCCTTACCAAATACTTACGTGTTCCAGATTGAATGCTTTAAACAGATAAAAAGCAAATTTCCAACGGGAACCCATGTAAACAAACCCGGTCTCAATTTTGTTAAAATTTTAAAACCTGTATACAATACCTCATAAAATGGAATATATCCTTGCCCCCTGGCCTTGGTATACTTACTCTATCGTTTTAATAACAGCTTTCGCTTTCACCGGAAACATTTACATCATTGTAACTGACAAAACTCACCTAGACCGGAATTTTAAATATACTTGTTTCGCCATCGTGGTCACATCGTAAATATCTCTCTCCCAATAAAAACGAAATAAAATAAGTATGGAGCATGTCAGTTAACGGGCTCCGTACTTTAGGGATGAAACAACTGATTCATACAGTCTGGCTCTACTGCTGTTTCAAACTTGTGTATTCTCCTGTGTGTCTTTCGTACAATTCCTCTAATATATATTTAACCATTTATCTCAAATTAAACATTCAAACTAATATGATAAACTCTTCTGTTTTTCACAAATAATCTCAAGTGTGATGAAATAGTCATAATTCTATGCCCCTAGTAATATAACAGTATTCTATCACGGGCTTTTACCGTTCATCTGATACACTGTCATATTAATCACTATTTCGTTTGCTCTGTTTGGGCCGTGATCTCGGATCATGCATGAAAAATGTATGGCTGGGCATATGGTTAAAGTCACGTGGTCATGCAACATACATATACATCCATACAGTGAAGCCGCTGTCACGTGTATTTATTAGATATAGACGTTTGATAACTGAATGCCAGTTCTCCATAAAAGACAATGAGTGACCATGACCTTTTAACTAAGCGCTGTGACTGTGGTCTGCTACCTAAACGTTAACAATGATATTGTTTGGACTAAAATATATCATGTGTAACTTTTTCATTGATTTAAGAGCTTGTCTCAGAAAAAATAGCCATCTTTTTAGATTAAAATTGAATTTATTGAGATAACATCCACAACCTGTGTATTGTGGCCGAAACAGCATGTTGTAGCAGAATAGGTGGCGCCAGGTGTCATACTGAATCATCGATATTGCTTCGTGATTAAATGGTTCATATCACCATAATGACCTAGTTATTTAAGGTAATCAACAACTCATAAATCCAATTATTAAACGGAATAAAATGCCAAACACATTGGTGAGAGATCTGAGGCTATCATATCCGAACATCTGTTTCACTTACATTGACTGATACAAACTCATCGCCTGCTGTTCAACTCCTGCCCAAGAACTGTTGTTTGAGTGATCCTGATTAATTTCTATTCATGCATCAACCAATACCCTTTTCAAAGTCCATATATCTGATCATTGTCGGGCTTGAAATCAAAATCTGTTTCGGCCGTGGTATTGAATTATAAAGTACATGCTGTTTATCGACGTTTTGCGAGTTTACCGAAGTCTTCAATCTTTGAATGGAGCTGAAGCGCATAACTAAGTTGGGTGGTAAAGGGATATTGACGGACTTGCTTGTAATTGTCACTCAGTATCTATCAAACAAGGCATAACAGACATGCACATGGATGTTTTTTCGAATTATTCTTGTCGTTTTAGTTTGGAGAACAGTTAATTATTAAGAATGTCTGGAAATTTAAACGAGAACCCGTTAGGGGAGGCAAATTTTGAGTACTTTGTATTTTACGTGACCATATTCTTAATCCTAACTTTAATTATTGTCGGAGGAAATTGCGTTATCATAGTTACCGTGCTTCGCCATCGAGATCTCCAGCAGCCATGCAATTACATGATAGCCAGTCTTGCTGTCTCCGATCTCCTATTTGGGATATTCTACCCGATCTACAACCTCGGCCATCTTCGTGACAGTTCCATCACACGTTTCCTTGGTAGGTAACTAGCTCATGCACAAAACTGAATCTATTAATGTCGAAAGCAGGGTTTCGAGAGAAGTGGATTGATAAAGATTTCATGGAAGTTTTACAGTCGTTACAACGGTCTTATTGGGAAATATTCTAATTCTGTGTATGATATGGAGACTGACGTGATTGATGGTCATTAGTATGCTTCATGGACCCGTTGGTTTTTATCTTTGTTTGGATTTACCAAAATGTACATGTCTGGTGTCGTCGATGAAGCAGAGGACGCTTATCCTTTCTGACACCTGGTCTTATATATGTGTATATCTTTGTTATAATTTTGCCCGTTTTGTCAAGTTTGTGTTTGAATTATGATATGTTCATTGTCTGTATTTTCTTTGTTTTTATAAAATGAATTTCTGACGATAGAATTAAAATACGTTCGTTTTCCTAGTAATTACAAATGAAAATGGGTGCTGACCAATACAAAATTTGATAATAGTAATGGCAAGTTCGAATTCCTAAGAATAGAGGTGTGTTAACTATATTTAACAGCACAAAGGACCGTTTGTGAGGGGTTGATCACCACTGTACAGTGGCTGGAAATGAACTCGGCGTACCATCTTGTCGCCATTACTATCAACCGTTACATAGCCATCGTCAAGCCTCTCCAGTACCACGTGTATCTGACCTGTCGTAGAGCCGCTGTAGTTATCTGTACAATATGGATAACTACTCTAGTAACGTCAGCAGCCATTTACTCTACAACAAACAGAGGTACGCAACTGATGAAAACACCTGAAGGAAACTCTAACAAGGTTGAAATTGCAAACCGTTGTTTTTGGGAAGATGTAGGCAGTTCATGAAATTGTTATGGTATAAATCCTTTTAAACAGTTGCTTTTTGTATACATCAAAATGGTAGCTGTAATGAATGGTTGCAGAGACATCTGTTCGTCAGGTAAATTGTCATAGCGACAGCTAAATGCTTGTTGAAAACATATTAATTTATATTAATTAAAGCATTTAACACGACTCATTCATTCAGTCCGAGTGAATCTTGATAATATCATATTCCAGTACATTTTCTTCTTATCTGAAACTAACATCAACTTATTTGCAGCCACAGACAACAAGGAAGCAAAAGTGTGCCGTTATGAGTTGATTTTCACAGAAGCACAGAGCATAATCCTCACCATCTTCAGCGGTGTCATACCAATTAGTGTGATGGTCGTTCTCTACACTATCATCGCACGCATCGCCAGAAAACATGTGAGTAGTGGAGTTTGTTTCAAATACGTGGTAAAATTTTAGGTGGGCGGGGGGGGGGGGGGGGGGGGGGGGGGGGGGGGGGGGGGGGGGGGGGGGGGGGGAATTTACGACTTATAAAACACATCAGATCAGTGTAGCACACAAAACCATAAGTGTAATAATGTTCACTTGTATCCTGGTTTCTGGATTTTGTTCTCTAATTAATCACATATAACAAACCTCTTATCAACTATTTTATTGACAACTTGAAAAAACATTTGTTCAATAAATCAATGCCCAATATTTCAGATACGTGATATAGCGGCGTGCTGTGGTGCTGACTTTCTAAAGCTGGGGAAACATCATGTATTCCGCCGTGAGATGAGGTCAACGTTGACAGTCAGTCTCTTGGTAGGATACTTCGCCTTTGTGTGGGTCCCTCACTGCACTTACATCGTGTACAGTGTTGCCTGCCAGTGTTACATCAGTCCGTATATCAGGTAGGGCCCACCAAATCTGTACGCCACATCTAAACTCTCGCATATGTTCCTGACATTCTGTCAATATCCAATACTTTATGTAATAAAGTGACACCCAGGTGTATATATTATATACCTGACATTCTGTCAATATCCAATACTTTATGTAATAAAGTGACACCCAGGTGTATTTATTATATACCTGACGTTCTGTCAATATCAATACTTTATGTAATAAAGTGACACCCAGGTGTATATATTATATACCTGACGTTCTGTCAATATCCAATACTTTATGTAATAAAGTGACACCCAGGTGTATATATTATATACCTGACGTTCTGTCAATATCCAATACTTTATGTAATAAAGTGACACCCAGGTGTATATATTATATACCTGACGTTCTGTCAATATCAATACTTTATGTAATAAAGTGACACCCAGGTGTATTTATTATATACCTGACATTCTGTCAATATCCAATACTTTATGTAATAAAGTGACACCCAGGTGTATTTATTATATACCTGACATTCTGTCAATATCAACACTTTATGTAATAAAGTGACACCCAGGTGTATATATTATATGCTTAACATTCTTTCAAAATTCTCTAATACTGTATCTTTTACGTAATGAAGTAAAGTTTGCGATGTGTAGAACTTTTCAATACAAATTCAATAATATTAATAAAGATATGGTACCTGCTCAATCATATATGTATATGTAAGTATATACATACATTGGATGAGATCAGCAGTGTGGAATTCCAGGGATTGGGGGCTAGGATCATAAATTGGCAGAAAAGAAGGGTAAATATTTACTTATATGCCGAGACAGAGATTTTATCATCCACTTAATTCAATAGATTCAGTTTGTTCTAGACCTTTGATAACCTTTCGTGTGTCGCTGTTTGTTTTTTGTGGTAGAAGGGGGTAATAGTGCACAGCTGTCTGACAGAAACCATCCTTGTCTGCCTTCAAGGAAAACAAGGAAATACAGAAATGTTCACATAGCCCATACATGATTTCCACAGATAAGATCATGTATTCCGGAAGAGTGCCATCTGCCTCATCAATGACACCCTGCGTGTAAACATTTCGTACAATCCAAGGGATTAATGCCACATTCTCAAACGCACACCCACCAGCAAAAATCGGGTACTGAATGCAACCAACACTACACTGTATAACAAAACATCCCCTTCAAAGGCATTGTTGTATCATCACCCACCTCAATGTAACTTTGGTTTTCTTGGTGTAAGAACGCCTTGGAAAGTAATGACATTCATGGCTTACTACCAAGGGCATGTGACTAAATAATGATCTTTGTATATGTATGTCTACCTTGTCATAACTTGTCCAACTGTGTCATACATGTGTGTAGAAGAAAGTTTACAAGATATCATTTGCATGTGTCCAGTGATTGTAACTGATGGGACGCTTTGATTTGCTAAATGTGAATTACCAAATGTTGAGTACAACATTGACATCTTTATTGGGACAGGCTTTCCACTCGGATGCTGGTATACACAAACAATGCCATCAACATTTTCATCTACGCCGGTCGTATCCATCTCTTCCGAAAATTGGCGATGAAGGACATCAAGCAATGCTGTTCCATTTGATACAAGTACAAACTAATCCTCTGTTGAGTGGAAGACATCGCGACATTCAGAGGCTCAAACACTCTGGTATGAACTGAATGACTCTGAAATCCTCATCACTGTAAAATGGTTTTAGCAGTATCTGCACATTGTACAGCGTTTCATTAGGACACAACACCACCTTGTATTCAGAAACTAACACATCTGAATTCCTTCTACAGTAATTGTTTATAATAAGACGGTGTTATGTGAAATCATGTCATTTATAAAAAATGCTGAAATGTTTTTCACATTCAATCAATTTTAGGCACTGCATTTTTAGGTCATCTGACCCGAAGGGTCCGATGACCTATAGTCATCATGCTTCGTCCGTCGTCGTCCGCCGTGCGCCGCGTCCGCCGTGCGCCGTCCGTAAACTTTTCATTCAAACGACTTCTTCTCAATAATTGGAAGGCCCAGGCAACTAATATTTGGCCTGTAGCTTGCTTTGCTGAAGCCCTACCAAGTTTGTTCAAATGAATGACCTTGACCTTCATTCAAGGTCACAGGGGTCAAATGTCTTTAAATCTTCAAAGGACTTCTCAGTAATCAAAAGGCCCAGGCAACTAAAATAAGGCCTGTAGCATGCTGGGATGAAGGACTACCAAGTTTGTTCAAATGAATGACCTTGACCCACTTTAAAGGTCACAGGGGTCAAATATGTTAAAATCTTTAAACAACTTCTCAATAACCAAAAGGCTCAGATTGCTGATATTGTGCCTGTGGCATGCTGGGATGAAGGGCTATCAAGTTTGTTTAAATGAATGACCTTGAACAACTTTCAAGGTCACAGGGGTCAAATATGTCAAAATCTTTAAATAACTTCTTCTCAAATACTAGAAGGCCTAGGGGGCTAATACTTGGCCCATAGCATGCTGGCATGGAGCCCTACAAAGTTTGTTCAAATGAATGACCTTGGCCCACTTTCAAGGTCACAGGGGTCAAATATGTTAAAATATACAAAGGACTTCATCTCAATAAGCAAAAGTCTATGAGTGCCGATATTGGGTCTGTAGCATGCTGGGAGGAAAGGCTACCAAGTTTATTCAAATGAATGACCTCAACCCACTTTCAAGGTCACAGGGGTCAAATATGTTAAAATATACAAACGACTTCTTCTCAACAAGCAAAAGTCCATGAGTGCTGATATTGGGCCTGTAAGATGCTTGGAGGAGAGGCTACCAAGTTTGTTCAAATGAATGACCTCAACCCACTTTCTAGGTTTGGCTTGCTTTTTGTCAGATGACCGTTAAGGCCCATGGGCCTCTTGTCTTTTCATCTGATAAGAGAATCCAAAAAGTTTTGTAAATCTACATTGTACTGATTCAATTAGAGTTATTTTTGTTGCCTAAATAAGAGTTTTTAAAGCTATTTCAGTGCTCCCAACATGTTTTTGTGTGATAGAGTGAAACTTTACCAATATTTTTGATTTTTTAATTCTGGATATGGATATGAAACCCGATTTCTATTTTCTCCCCCGAGTTCTTTACTTTCCTAAATAATACATATATGGTATATTTACCTGTTCACTTTACTTTCCTATATATCATAAACATGGTATATTTATCTGTATATCATGAACCATGGTATATTTACCTGTTCACTTTACTTTCCTATATATCATAAACATGGTATATTTACCTGTATATCATGAACCATGGTATGTTTACCTGTTCACTTTACTTTCCTATATAATATATACATGGTATATTTACCTGTTCACTTTACTTTCCTATATATCATGAACATGGTATATTTACCTGTTCACTTTACTAATATATATACATGGTATATTTACCTGTTCACTTTACTTTCCTATATATCATGAACATGGTATATTTACCTGTTCACTTTACTTTCCTATATATCATGAACATGGTATATTTACCTGTTCACTTTACTTTCCTATATAATATATACATGGTATATTTACCTGTTCACTTTACTTTCCTATATATCATGAACATGGTATATTTACCTGTTCACTTTACTTTCCTATATAATATATACATGGTATATTTACCTGTTCACTTCACTTTCCTATATAATATATACATGGTATATTTACCTGTTCACTTTACTTTCCTATATATCATGAACATGGTATATTTACCTGTTCACTTTACTTTCCTATATAATATATACATGTATATTTACCTGTTCACTTTACTTTCCTATATATCATAAACATGGTATATTTACCTGTTCACTTTACTTTCCTATATATCATGAACATGGTATGTTTACCTGTTCACTTTACTTTCCTATATAATATATACATGGTATATTTACCTGTTCACTTTACTTTCCTATATAATATATACATGGTATATTTACCTGTTCACTTTACTTTCCTATATAATATATACATGGTATATTTACCTGTTCACTTTACTTTCCTATATAATATATACATGGTATATTTACCTGTTCACTTTACTTTCCTATATAATATATACATGGTATATTTACCTGTTCACTTTACTTTCCTATATAATATATACATGGTATATTTACCTGTTCACTTTACTTTCCTATATAATATATACATGGTATATTTACCTGTTCACTTTACTTTCCTATATAATATATACATGGTATATTTACCTGTTCACTTTACTTTCCTATATATCATGAACCATGGTATATTTACCTGTTCACTGTTACTCTAAAGGCTACATACCTGTATGTGGCAGTTACAGTCTCTCCACACTTACTCTGATTCACAAGTAAGTTGTTATAGATTGTCCTCAAGCACATTGCACTACGACTTTGTTAACAGGTATTACAAACAGATGACACAACACAGAATATTATTTTACAAATGTATACACCTTAATTTATTGAATTATCTTATATTTACATATAATTTATAACTATAAAAATGTTGCGTTTTCACATTTTTTGCATGTTTCACAAAGAATGTAGACATGAATGGACGGAGAAATACATATATGTAGAGTACAAATAGCAAAAATCTATTGCCACTAATATCTGAAAACTTTCAATTAATTAATATCTAAAATCCCTTCTACTTAAAAATAAACGGAATGCATATTTAGGCAAGTCCGTTATATTCACAACCAACATAAATTAATCCCATATACTGTTGCGAAGACATGCTTGGTGCAAACACAAATTGATTATTTCCGCTGCTAGCATGTAGCACATTCACTTGAAAATGAAAAGTTGGAACGAGAAATGCATTTTCTTTTGACAGATAGAATGTTGTTTGGACAATGATTTACTGATTTACAACAGCATGTGGGGAAACTCTGCTGTGTCTAGGAGGGATATAAAAGGTGGGCTAAACGTGTGATGCTAGAGCTGAAAAGCTAAAACAATGGCCGAAGTAGACCAGTTTTATGTAAGATTTAAAACAAACAGGCTTACTATTTCCCCACATACAACATCAAAATATGTATCATAGCATAATACATCTGGATAAACTAACAGCTAATTAATTCATGATGGACGAATATCTGTTCATGACCATGTAATCATAAAATTGTTTTGGACACTTTCCTTACTTTTATTAACAACAGGCCCATGGGCCTTTGCGATCACCTCAGGTCTTCAGGCTTTTTACAGTTTTCGACTTGTTCATCAGTCCCAGCATTGGGGCAGACAGAGCAGAACTAATATATGCATCCTTACGAAGTTTTTATTGTGTCTTAAGTTTGAAAGCAAGATTTTCAATTAAATGGAACTGATAACACTGTCTGTTGTTGAAGTTTAGCCTATTTGACTCGTGATCTTGAATGAAGGTCAAGGTCATTCATTTGAACAAACTCAGTAGCACTTCATCCCAGCATGGTATTGGCCAAACATCATGACCCTGGGGCATTTTGTTATTAAGAAGAAGTCATTTGAACAATTTTACATATTTGACCACTGTGACTTTGAAAAGGGTCAAGGTCATTCATTTAAACAAACTTGGTAGTTTATGACTAATCTAGGACTGACACAACTAAGCACTTCATAACAATACAATGTTTGGTTCAAATTATCATTAAGTGTCATTTTAATTTAAAATGAACACCCACAATCTTATAGATGGAATGTAGAAAACTAGTGTTTTACACATGATGATTCTTGCCAGGTTTAAAAGCAGTATTTGAAATTGCTTCCTGGTGAAGATGATACTATGCCTCTGACTGTCCTTTGGCTACGCCGACATTTTCTGGTAAAACTGTTGTAGAAACTTCAGATGGAATAACGTCATAACCTAATTTTTTCATGTCCTTTGAAACAATATTGAAAGACACTGTCACAAAACCTTGAGATCGCACCCGTGTCACTGGAAAGGAAACAAACAACAGATTCAGAAATAACTTCCAAACTATTACTATCATTCAAAGTTATCTTTCCTTAGGATGTTCTTACTTTAAGAATTTGCTAATTTGAATCAAACTCAACAAATTTTCAGTTTAGAATTAAAATGTGTTTATCCTGATACTTACCTTCTCTTCCTTCTCCTTGAGCAACCACCTTAGGATCAACAAATTCTGGTCGTCGCCCTAGAAACCACGCTGTGAATTTCTGAAGTGCTGATGCGGACTCTGGAACAAACATTGGTATTTTCCGCTTGTGTCTGTAAAAAACAAAAAAACTGAACAATAAATGCATATAAATTGATGTAAAATATCTGGCAACATTACCTAAATAGGCAAGTTCTACAACTACAAGTATGTCCTAATTCTTGATTATGTTCATAAAACTTTAGAAAACTATTCATAAAACTTTTATGAGGGAAACAAAACTCTCGATGTTTAAGTTACAAGTTGGACCTTAAAGAATACCTATCTTGAGAGAAAACTTATTTTGATGTGATGTAGTAACACTGTAATAAATAATACTGAAGAGATATTTTCTTATTTACTCTGTTCTTGTTATCTCATATCTCACCTTCCTGGTGTGATGGGGACATGGCACATACCATAACCTCTCACAACATCTTGTCCAAATACATCAATTCCATAGCAGTGAATGACAAGTTGTGGCCCTGTGGCATAAAAATCAATAATGGTGACACTGAGACATATATTACAATAATGGTGGCCCTGAGACATAAATTACATAATGGTGGCCCTGAGACATAAATAACAACAATGGTGTCCCTGAAACATAAATTACAAAATTGGAGGCCCTGAGAATAGGTTACATTAATGGTGACCGCCCTGAGACATAAATTACAATAATGGTGACACTGAGACATAAATTACAATAATGGTGACCCTGAGACATAAATTACAATAATGGTGACCCTGAGACATAAATTACAATAATGATTGCCCTGAGACAAAAATTACAATAATGGTGACACTGAGACATAAATTACAATAATGGTGACCCTGAGACATAAATTACAATAATGGTGACCCTGAGACATAAATTACAATAATGGTGACACTGAGACATAAATTACAATAATGGTGACCCTGAGACATAAATTACAATAATGGTGACCCTGAAACATAAATTACAATAATGGTGACCCTGAGACATAAATTACAATAATGGTGGCCCTGAGACATAAATTACAATAATGGTGACACCGAGACATAAATTACAATAATGGTGACCCTGAGACATAAATTACAATAATGGTGGCCCTGAGACATAAATTACAATAATGGTGGCCCTGAGACATAAATTACAATAATGGTGACCCTGAGACATAAATTACAATAATGGTGACCCTGAGACATAAATTACAATAATGGTGACCCTGAAACATAAATTACAATAATGATTGCCCTGGGACATAAATTACATTAATGGTGGCCCAAGACATGAATTAAATTAAACTCAATTCCATGGTCGAAACTTTAGAAGAAGTCCGTCAAATGTTTATGCATGGTGGACAGCACATGGCAGACAACGAAGCACAATGGTTATAGGACATCATGACCCTTCAGGCTGATGACCTAATAAACTAATACCTTCAAAGATTCCATGACTTCTGAGACTCCAAGTCCTGGACTGATACTGTTCTTATAATAAGTAGGGTTGGGAAGTGTTAATAAAAGCTTACTTACTTGCCCTAATCTTTTGATGTACTATCTATGAATTACTGACTACTGCACAAGCTAACTGTAATCACAGCAGCAATACGTTTATCCCAAGTTCCTTTCTTTCTTCCTTTTTTATCTAAATCAATCTTTGAATAATGTTTGTTTTGTCAGGAAAAAGCAATACTGTGACTATATATCAGAATTGTTAACTTACATCCATGCGGATTGGTACTCTTAAATGTGATATCTAGGGGAAAGTTCCACACAAACTCTTGTCTCTCATCTTTACTCTTCTTAGTTATTTGTGTGATGCCTTCTTCCAAACCCTGCAAATTTCAAAAAATTGAGATTCATAGGACATTAAGAAAACATAAACATTTCAAAATGCATGTAACTGTAGTTTATCCTATTTCTCATCCATCTGTGATTCCTTCAAGAACTGATCTATGATGGAAGGCAACTGGAACATTGGTTGTCTCCAACTCAATTAGGAATCTTATTGTTAATTCAAAGTGAATTCTAAAAACTTACAAATATTCCTTTCCATCAAATAATGAACATTCAAATAGTTTTTTTCAAATGGACAAACAGTGTCAACTAATTATTCTTTTTACAAAAGCTACCTACAAAGACAAATGGGAAAAAATTGATGGGAGATTTCTGTACATAATCAAAAAGCTAAAGAAGGGGCAATAACTCCTTCTTAAATTACTAAATAAAACTGCTGTGTAGGAAACAGAATTCCAAGTCATAATTATAAAGCCTACCAAGTCTGAAAGAAATTGGGAAACTAGGATGAGATATCTGGACAATAACAGCAATATGAAAAGAACAAGGGGCAGTAACTCAGTTGAAGCAAACTGCAATTAAGGCAAACAAAACTTCATATCATTGTTAATTACTAAACCTATAAGATTGAAAGAAACTCATTGAAAAATGGGAGAGATCTCTTTCCAAGATTTACATAGTAAAACATGGGGCAATAACTTACAAATACAATTGAATCACTGCCATAAAAGGATGCAAAATTCCAAGTCATTGTTATTATTAAATATGGTTAAAATTGTATTACAAGATCTCTGGACAAATAAAATTTTATGATGGATGCATAAAACTATAACATTTAATACATTCCTTCAAAATTTATTAACACAAACAGCATCTACAAAATCTTTCATCATGGACCCATAGACATATAAAGTATATAAATTTTAGCTAATCTCTTTTTCACTGACTCACCGAAGTTATTAACCAATCAGATCCATACGTAAAGCAGTATTTACAATATATATCATCAAACTCTGGAAACTGAAAAGACAAAATAATTTAAATCGTAAATTCACAAATTAAAATAATCAATACATATCTATAATATTAATTCTCATTCATGAGACAAGGAAATACCATGCACTACAAAGTGCCAGATTCTTGTCCAGTCTGTTTGGTATCTCTACATGATATTTAGTGCTAAGTAACATTATCATTAAAATGATATCATGATAAATACTCTTGGCATATAACCACAAAGGGGGGTAATCTCACAGAATAGAAGAATCTGAAAGGGAAACATGTTGAGAAAGATTTAAGTTAATCTTGACACTATAATGTATGAGAAAACCCAGTCTGTTTTTGCTTTGAAAGTGACTTTGTTACAGAATGGACTGAGATAAATCAATCTAAATCACTTATAGTCAGATTCATCTCACATAAAAAAATATTTCTGAAGAAATCCTTGACTTCAATCAAAATGCTATCTTTATATTCAATATTTACCATTGTACATGTATAGAATACAGCTGTAGCTATGATGTTAAGTGTTATGATGTAAAACCAGCTCATGCAATGACAAAGGAATCAGGATATTGGAAAGTATTAGAAATGATGAATATAAGGACTGAACTGATTTTTATTGCTTAAATAATCCATATGTTATAGAATTTATTACCACAGGAGTTTGACATTCTGTCAATAAAATATCTAAGAAGTGCTATAACAATGTATATACTGGCTTTTTATAGCTATTGAATTCTGGACGGAACATGGTCGACGACGACCAACACAGGCCAGTCCAGTTCTGCTACATTTATACAATGTATAAACTTACCTGTACTGACATTCAATCGACTTGATATAATGTCAGAATAATTAGGACTAGTCTCAACTACGAATGAAATGCACGTACATTGTATATAAAGGAATAAATTCACAAAATATTTAACCATCATGAGGTTATTGAAAGACGATGAACTATCCCACCTCTGAACAGCTGACAATTAATTGCAAGAACTCTATACTATATTCAGATTTATCTGTCTCAAAATGAACTGTTACATATCATACAGTTACAGTTCAAAATGACACCAGACAGTGATAATTCTGATATATATAAACCAAATTATTTGAACTGTCAGCTATGACATCAAACATGTGCAAGCTTGTTTACGTTTTATCGCCAAATATTTATCGTTAGTTATCATATTTATCAATCACACGTAATCAATATTTTGCCCTTACTATAACCAAATAATTTCATATTGAAGATAAATACAACGTTAGGTGCCACCATGAAATAATCACCTCTGCCGATTCGATTTGCCCACCAGCCATAAGAAGAAACACGGTCTGTGCCATTTTGTATATTGTGCATTATGCGCCACCTGGTGTTCTGTGAATAGGGAGTAATCCCTAAGTTGGATTGCTCTGATGATACAAAAAACAGAAGAGAAAGCTGACGTATGTTCTACATTTCAGTTCAAAATGATAAAAAAATACAGCAAACAACGTCTAATGAGGCATTGATAATATCCTTTCATGTTTTTGTGCATAGAAACGCATTAAGTATTTAATAAAGCATCACCGTACGGAGACGGAACGGCAGGGAGCGTACGGTCCGAAAGTCCACCCGAAATGACCCAGGCCGCCGAATACATTTTTTCAACTATTGCCGCGGTACATAAAAATTACCTTACGGTCGATAGTAGACGTTCTATAAACGTGTATCTAGAAAGAAAAAATAAAAAATGATATAATAAATAACGTCGGAACTAATTACATTAGATAATATTATCACTTCCCTTGCATCACAATACGCTTAAAACCCGTTCGACATAGATTCTTAAAAAAAAACGGTTCCAAGTTAAATATATCAACTTTCATGCGCTCAGTTTTCCCTTTCGCTTTTTAAATAGCTAACTGCAGATAAAACGTGTTTTCTGATTCCAGCTTATGGACGAAATTTATCCTGCAACTGGCACCGCCATTGTCGGAATACGCATGCCACATGTTTTTTTGCTGTATTCGGCACTGACGGAAACAGCTGTATTTTGAGCACTTGCAATAGTTCGACAGAAACACTCACTGAATTTACTTAAATATTACATTCAGAAATATAAATGGTTGTGGTAATAAGCGATTTGTCCTTGTGATTTAAACATATTTTATTATCAGTATTGTTGCAAGATTGATACAGGCCTAATACATTGTCAGTGTCTTAAAATATAAGCTACATTTATGCTCGGACAGAAAGAAAAAGAGTGGCTCGCTAGAAACTCGCCATTTTTTATTTCTTCATCCTCGCCAAAAATGCTTCTATTTTATGACCGAGATAATGTATTATCGCGCATCTTGACAATATTGGTTCTGCATACCAATCTGGCGTACATCACAGTAAAGCAAACGTTCGTTAGTTTACCCCATGAAAGAACGATCGATATAAATAAATAAAAATAGATAAATGTCTTTTAGTTCATAACAAATACGGAAATTGTGTTACAGTACCATTTTGTGTGTAACACTGATTATCGTTGATGCAATTGTCTGTGTGTCTATCCACAGACTGGCGCGATGGTATAAAAGACATGTATCTGAAACGGCATATTATCAAAGCCAGATAATCTGAAGAACTCTCTAAATCGGGAATATTTGCTCAACTCTTGCATTCAAAACGGAAAATAGCCGTCATATTTGTATATACAAATCAAATTGCGTACACTGGATGCATTCGAAATACGTCGCGGGGAACATCCTGTTGGCTGTGTCCAGCCCTATTCCGTGCTCCGCACTCCATATCAGGGGAGGCTACTCTAAAAAGTAGGCTAACCAATTCAGGAAGCGAGAACCGGATCGCTAGCTACTGGACAGGTAAAGGCGGTTGAGAAATGTTTTCAGAAGATATTCCTTAGATATTGTCTAATGTGATATAAATAATTTGTCTTTGAATACACACAGAATGTATCTTTAGACTGCTTATTGACAATGTAAATCAAACCAAGACGACACGGGTCAATAGTTTCGATGTACGTTTCATACGTGTGAGTTGTTGGTCAATTCATGAAATGGATGTTGCAATAACACAGCTAAAGGAACATATCTTCCAAGTAATCTACTGTCATGCTGATATTCAGAAACATTAAAATGCTTGTTTACTATTGCAACTGAAAGTGTAAATGCACTAGTCACAGGCAGGGTTTCTACAGGAATCTGACGTTTTCCCTCAGAGCTCCCAACATATTTTATCAAAACTTTCTGAATTACAAAAAAAGTGTCAAATGATGCATATATAGGCGCTTCAGTTGTCTTTCTTGACACTTCGACTGATTTATTGTTATTTCAAGTATAAATGTAGCGGTATGATAAAAACAAAGTCGCAGGGGTCTTGTTATGTTTACTTTTATTAAAAGAGAACGAGAGAGAGAGTGTGATTGATTCTGAAACATTATAGAATGAAATTAAATCAGACTGTCACACATATGACATCCACTTACAATTCAAACTTCAACAAATCACAACTTTAACAAATAAGTGAAAATAGTATCGCTTTAAACAAAAATATAACTTTAAAGAGATAATAGTAATCATTACGGTAATACAGAACAATTACACTAATTACACTTACTGACAAACTAATTCTACTGTTAACTATAGAACAATTACACTTACTGACAAACTAATTCTACTGTTAACTATAGAACAATTACACTTACTGACAAACTAATTCTACTGTTAACTATAGAGCAATTACACAATTGCACTATAGAACAATTACACTTACTGACAAACTAATTCTACTGTTAACTATACACTTACTGACAAACTAATTCTACAACTATATTACACTTACTGACAAACTAATTCTACTGTTAACTATAGAACAATTACACTTACTGACAAACTAATTCTACTGTTAACTATAGAGCAATTACACTAATTGCACTTACTGACAAACTAATTCTACTGTTAACTATAGAACAATTACACTTACTGACAAACTAATTCTACTGTTAACTATAGAGCAATTACACTACACTTACTGACAAACTTGCACTTACTGACAAACTAATTCTACTGTTAACTATAGAACAATTACACTTACTGACAAACTAATTCTACTGTTAACTATAGAACAATTACACTAATTACACTTACTGACAAACTAATTCTACTGTTAACTATAGAACAATTACACTAATTACACTTACTGACAAACTAATTCTACTGTTAACTATAGAACAATTACACTAACTGACAAACTAATTCTACTGTTAACTATAGAACAATTACACTAATTACACTTACTGACAAACTAATTCTACTGTTAACTATAGAACAATTACACTAATTGCACTTACTGACAAACTAATTCTACTGTTAACTATAGAGAATTACAATTACACTTACTAATAATACACTTACTGACAAACTAATTCTACTGTTAACTATAGAACAATTACACTAATTACACTTACTGACAAACTAATTCTACTGTTAACTATAGAACAATTACACTAATTACACTTACTGACAAACTAATTCTACTGTTAACTATAGAACAATTACACTAATTACACTTACTGACAAACTAATTCTACTGTTAACTATAGAACAATTACACTTACTGACAAACTAATTCTACTGTTAACTATAGAGCAATTACACTAATTACACTTACTGACAAACTAATTCTACTGTTAACTATAGAGCAATTACACTTACTGACAAACTAATTCTACTGTTAACTATAGAGCAATTACACTAATTACACTTACTGACAAACTAATTCTACTGTTAACTATAGAACAATTACACTAATTACACTTACTGACAAACTAATTCTACTGTTAACTATAGAGCAATTACACTAATTACACTTACTGACAAACTAATTCTACTGTTAACTGTAGAACAATTACACTCACTGACAAACTAATTCTACTGTTAACTATAGAGCAATTACACTAATTACACTTACTGACAAACTAATTCTACTGTTAACTATAGAACAATTACACTAATTGCACTTACTGACAAACTAATTCTACTGTTAACTATAGCACAATTACACTTACTGACAAACTAATTCTACCGTTAACTATAGAACAATTACACTAATTGCACTTACTGACAAACTAATTCTACTGTTAACTATAGAACAATTACACTTACTGACAAACTAATTCTACCATTAACTCAAAGAGATAGAATTCAAATGTAATGAAGTGCTAAGGACAATAAAAGAAACCCACAAAACAGAAACTTTCAACCAATCTAACAACTTCGTCAAAGTCTGTCATGTGTCATTGTCTTGTCCAGTCTGTAGCTGACCACAACTCACATACAGCACACATACATATGTACAAAGTTCAAACAAAGAAATGTGCTCGCACTATACCTGGTATACATACCAGTATACATTAACAGGCAAAATGTAACGTGAGTTTTAAGAATAATATACAAAAACAGGCAATTCAGTATATTGTACTTACAAACAAATAAATATATTTTATATCCAACAGAATTTGACAATCAATATAATAATTTTGACACTGTTACATTAGTATGAAAAAACTTAACAAGATAATATAAATTTTTTTTCAGATTTGTGTCTTTCTACTCTTACTTAATTGACATGAGCTATCCTTACCAAGGAGGTGGTAATCCTGGATACCCAGGTGGTGGGTATGGGCAACCCCCAATGGGTGGCTATCCCCAACAAGGAGGGATGCCGCAACCAGGTGGTATGCCGCAACCAGGCGGTATGCCACAGCCTGGTGGCTACCCACAACCAGGGGGTGGTTACCCTCAGCCAGGAGGTGGAGGTTTCCAGCAACCACAGGGCTTTGGAGGGGGTGTAAGTTCAGTTATAAATGTGTAATTTTCTGAAATTCTAGCATCAGTTTTGTAGATGACCTCTTGTAGCATATACACAATATTTGCCTAAGTGATACAAAGAAATTTGAATTTTGATTAACTTGAAAAAAGAGGTAAGATATGATGTTTTTAAGTATTCACTATCATGTATTTTCACAAGATTCCAAGTTTTCATTGCAGTCATGAAATGACATGAATATTTTTAAAAATATCTTTCAATAAAAACAAAAATCTATTTTAGATTTTAATTTATTCTCATAAATCAGGTAAAATAAAAAAATAAACAACATAGAAACGAAAAAATTATCTATTAAAGTCCCTCAAAATCCCAAGGAAGATGGATTTACTAGCAGAATAACCAGTCATCATGAATGACTTGTGGATATCAGTTATTTAGTTTGATTGGTGTGTATGGTGGAAAATAAATGTACTAATGGTGTGTGATTGTGGAAGTATTGGAAGTGATTTTTGTTTTTGATAAGGTCCATGTTTATATTTTAGATGGGTATGCCGACCCCTGAGTCTGCTTCTGCAGCAGCGTATGGACAGTCTGGGGCCCCGGGGGGAATGCCTGGTTATCCTGCTCAGCCACAGCCTGGTGGATTAGGTTTTGGTGTAAGTCTAATTGTGTAAATTACTTGATATATACAGAAATTATCTCAGAATAGGATCAAGTAACAACTGAACATTTTTTAATTACAAACTTGGTGACCATGGATATTGGTATGTATGAAGATTTAGTAAAACATTATAAAAAGATCAAGAAATCGGTGGATATAAGGCTTCCATTTGGAGTGTGTACATCAATACATGACAAGAAGAAGAATATAGAGTAACTGTTCCCCAACATGTGGCATAGTCATAAGATTTAATCAAATTTTTAACTGAAAACAATATCAGTTGTTTCTTTTGATTTGAAACTTGCGTGCAGGTAATAATACAATGGTCACAAGTCATTTGAATTATCTATAATTTTCAGTTGAGATTACAGTTAATACATGAATGTACTTGTTAATTAGCTTTATAGGTATGTTTTTAATATTGTTTTATTGACAGGGAGGATCTGCCCCACCATCAGGACCAGGGTTTGGAGGAGGGGCTCCTGGCTATGGGGCACCTCCTGGAGGCTACACAGGAGCACCACCTCCTCAGCCTGCTATGCCAAGTTATAACCAGCCTCCTCAGCAATCATACCAAGTAAGAAAATTTAGCCTATGGAAGAAAAAAAGTCGGACTGAAAAGTGTAGTGTTTGTCAGTGTGGTAGGATCCTACAGGTATCAGAAAGGTGTAGTGTTTGTCAGTGTGGTAAGATCCTACAGGTATCAGAAAGGTCTAGTGTTTGTCAGTGTTGTAGGATCCTACAGGTATCAGAAATGTCTAGTGTTTGTTAGTGTTGTAGGATCCTACAGGTATCAGAAAGGTGTAGTGTTTGTCAGTGTTGTAGGATCCTACAGGTATCAGAAAGGTATAGTGTTAGTCAGTGTTGTAGGGTCCTACAGGTATCAGAAAGGTGTAGTGTTTGTCAGTGTTGTAGGATCCATACAGGTATCAGAAAGGTGTAGTGATTGTCAGTGTTGTAGGATCCTACAGGTATCAGAAAGGTGTAGTGTTTGTCAGTGTTGTAGGATCCATACAGGTATCAGAAAGGTGTAGTGTTTGTCAGTGTTGTAGGAACCCCTACAGGTATCAGAAAGGTGTAGTTTTTGTCAGTGTTGTAGTATCCAACAGGTATTAGAAATGTCTAGTGTTTGTCAGTGTTGTAGGATCCATACAGGTATCAGAAAGGTGTAGTGATTGTCAGTGTTGTAGGATCCTACAGGTATCAGAAAGGTGTAGTGTTTGTCAGTGTTGTAGGATCCTACAGGTATCAGAAAGGTGTAGTGATTGCCAGTGTTTTAGGAATAGATACTTTATATTCAGGTATATGCGTAAGTCATTCTAATTAAGCTTTGCCTTTATTTATGTAACTGAACTTTTCACTTCTTTGTTGTTTCCATGGAAACAGTCAGAATCATTAATTTGCTGTTTTCAGAAAAGATCTGAACTGCTGAAGATGAATTTATGTGATATTAATATGATTTAAAATTGATTTTTCCTTTTTGATCATGTTTGTTCAGAACAGTCGAGATTTGGTTTCTCTTTAGCATGAAAAACATTTGTTAAATGAATAAATAAGTAAGGTAAACCTCACAAATAAATGTGTTACTGCAATACATCTGTATCGTATTGTATAGAAGTGATTTCTTCACCCTGTTCTGTTCCAGTCCAGTGCACCAGCACCAGCCTATGGTTCCAGTCCAGGATACCAGCCACCACAGCAACAGGGATATAACCAACCCCCTCAACAGGGGTACAACCAACCCCCTCAACAAGCTTTCAACCAACCACCTGCCAACCCCTCCTATGCAGGTTCAGCTCCAGGAGGTTATGGGGCATCAGCCCCTTCAGCGCCATCTGGTGGTCATCCATATGGTGCCCCTGCCTCCAACACAGGTATGGGAGGAGGCATTCCAGGAGCAGGTGCCTTTAAACAAAAGGTAAGTTAATTTTAGCTTTTCATTTTGTCCTGTTTACAAATAAAGTTATCTAATGTTTTTTTAACCAAGAAAAATTCTTTAAATGGTAGCACAATCTATTTCCAGTCCTGAATAACTCATTTACATGCCCTTTTTTTGTGTTACTTTTAAGTATTTCAAGCATAACAGTATGTGATAAATGTGTTGACTGTGAAAACCATGCAGAAATCGCGGATTTGGACGGTATAGATTGTCAGTGCTTCTTCTGGAGAAGTACTCAAAGGGACAACTTTGTTCCCAGGTGTGCATTATTTTATTTTAGGACTGATCTGAAAAACAACATGGCTGATGATTTTTAAGAGTAAAGTTGGTCATCACTCTTTGAAGAGAAGTACTCTTTGGATCTTTCTCAAATGTCATATGTTTGGACTCCCTGGCCCGTAGTATCCTTATGATTATTTGACTGATCAGAAAAAAATGGCTGACAGGTGGCCATCTTGGATAATGATTCTGAAAGTTTGTTATCACTTTTTCTTCAGAAATGCTACATGCTCTTTTCTCAAATTTCATATGTAGTTTCACCTTCGCTCCTAATTATACATTTTCGATTTTGGAACCTATCAAAAAAACAAAATGGTTGATTTGTGATTGTTGAAGATATACCAAGCATTTGATGTACTTCTAAAATCAACAGAAAATTACATGACAGTTATGAAAGTTATTGAATTACAGGGCTATTGTATTCTCCTGTCTAGATCTTGTCATTTCTTTCAATCTCTTTGGATCACTGATGAGTCCTAGAAGAACAAAACAGCTGCATGATGCAGTTTATTTCATTCTTTACTCCATCTGACTCTGAAATTGTATTTAAAGGTGCTTTTCACATGTGTGTCTGTTGTGCAATCTGTGATATGTTTTTGATGATTGAAGAATAATATCATTGTGACTGTTCTCAAATCAAATGCTGTTTTCTTCATTTGTATTACATGTAAAGGATAGTTTAAATGAACTAGCTTCATCAATAAGATTAGTTCTGTGACATGTTACACCGACAACACTATGGAATTCAGATGACCCTAAAGACCCATAGGCTTTTTGTTACACAGAGTTTGAAGCTCTGTAAATCAAGCTACAGGTGTTTGTGGATTAGAATCCTCTAAATAATGCTTGCCAATAAAAAAAGTAACAAATATTTTACATAATTAGCCTCAAAATGACTGTCTCCCGGCTCAGTGTGCTGACTAGCATAGAGATTGTGTCCAGGCTCAGTGTGTCAACCAGCATAGAGACTGTGTCCAGACTCAGTATGCAGACCAGCATAGAGACTGTGTGCAGGCTCAGTGTGTCAACCAGCATAGAGACTGTGTCCAGGCTCAGTGTGATAACCAGCATATAGACTGTGACCTGGCTCCGTGTGTCAACCATCATAAAGACTGTGTCCAGGCTCAGTGTGCTGACTAGCATAGAGTCTGTGTCCAGGCTCAGTGTGTCAACCAGCATAGAGACTGTGTCCAGACTCAGTGTGTCAACCATCATAGAGACTGTGTCCAGGCTCAGTGTGCTGACTAGCACCAGGCTCAGTGTCCTGACCAGCATAGAGACTGTGTCCAGGCTCAGTGTGATGACCAGCATAGAGACTGTGTCCAGGCTCAGTGTGATGACCAGCATAGAGACTGTGTCCAGGCTCAGTGTGCTGACTAGCATAGAGACTGTGTCCAGGCTCAGTGTGATGACCAGCATAGAGACTGTGTCCAGGCTCAGTGTGATGACCAGCATAGAGTCTGTGTCCAGGCTCAGTGTGTCGACCATCATAGAGGCTGTGTCCAGACTCAGTATGCAGACCATCATAGAGACTGTGTCCAGACTCAGTGTTCTGACCAGCATAGAAACTGTGTCCAGGCTCAGTGTGCTGACTAGCATAGAGACTGTGTCCAGGCTCAGTGTGCTGACTAGCATAGAGACTGTGTCCAGGCTCAGTGTGCTGACTAGCATAGAGACTGTGTTCAGACTCAGTGTTCTGACCAGCGTAGAGACTGTGTCCAGGCTCAGTGTGCAGACCAGCATAGAGTCTGTGTCCAGGCTCAGTGTGTCAACCAGCATAAAGACTGTGTCCAGGCTCAGTGTGTGTCAACCAGCATAGAGACTGTGTCCAGGCTCAGGTTGCTGAAAAGCATAGACACTGTGTCCAGGCTCAGAGTGTCGACCATCATAGAGACTGTGTCCAGACTCAGTGTGATGACCAGCATGGAGACTGTGTCCAGGCTCAGTGTGCTGACTAGCATAGAGACTATGTCCAGGCTCAGTGTGCTGACTTGCATAGAGACTGTGTCCAGACTCAGTATGCAGACCATCATAGAGACTGTGTCCAGGCTCAGTGTGTTAACCAGCATAGAGACTGTGTCCAGGCTCAGTGTGTCAACCAGCATAGAGACTGTGTCCAGGCTCAGTGTGTCAACCAGCATAGAGACTGTGTCCAGGCTCAGTGTGTCAACCAGCATAGAGACTGTGTCCAGGCTCAGTGTGATGACCAGCATAGAGACTGTGTCCAGGCTCAGTGTGATGACCAGCATAGAGACTGTGTCCAGGCTCAGTGTGTCAATTAGCATAGACACTGTGTCCAGACTCAGTGTGATGACCAGCATAGAGACTGTGTCTAGGCTCAGTGTGTCAACTAGCATAGAGACTGTGTCCAGGCTTAGGTTGCTGACCAGCATAGAGACTGTGTCCAGGCTCAGTGTGTCAACCAGCATAGAGACTATGTCCAGGCTCAGTGTGCAGACCAGCATAGAGTCTGTGTCCAGGCTCAGTGTGCAGACCAGCATAGAGACTGTGTCCAGGCTCAGTGTGATGACCAGCATAGAGACTGTGTCCAGGCTCAGTGTGTCACCCAGCATAGAGACTGTGTCCAGGCTCAGTGTGATGACCAGCATAGAGACTGTGTCCAGACTCAGTGTGATGACCAGCATAGAGACTGTGTCCAGGCTCAGTGTGATGACCAGCATAGAGACTGTGTCCAGACTCAGTGTGATGACCAGTATTGAGGCTATGTCCAGACTCAGTGTACTGACTAGCACCAGACTCAGTGTGTATACAGTGAACTTTTTAAGCATTTCCATGTACTTATCCATAGTGTACCTAATGTATTATTTATTTATATAGTGTAGTCATTTGTTTCTCTACGTTTTTCAGACTGTGAAATCAGTCGTTACCATACAAAACTTTTGATATAGTAGATCAGTGTGACACTTCTATGTAACTGAAGCTGGGTTCAATCCAATTTCATGTGTGAAGTAATTCACCAAAGAATATAAGATAATTTACATATACTTTGTTACATTTCAATACTTTCACAGAGTTTCATGCAAGAAGGGATTAACAAACTAGTTTATAGTCCTACTGTATTTTGTTTTTTTGTTGTTTTTTTCTTTCCGTTGCTGTGCATAGATAGTCACATCCTGTTCTTCCACAGTAACATTATTGATCAGTTTGTCCCTATTCTTATCTCCACTGAAGGGCTGTCTACAAGGTGTCCCGCTAGATGTGTCATTTGTCACTTCAAGTACATCCATTTATTTTACTATGAAGGTGGTCTGACTTCCAGTTCTCATGATCTGTATAGCTTGCTCAGTTATATACGTGTTATATATTTTTCTCTTGAAAATAGAACATCATAATCAGCTGTAAGGGGGCTCACGTTCAAAAGTTAATAAAACCATGAAGCAGTATTTGGTAATTATTTCATTATCCGTAATCATTTGCTAATAAATCAGAATGCTATGGAACGAGGTTCTAGACAGAAATTGCCAAAATAAGTCATTGCTTTAGATTTGTTGAGAATATAAAAGTGAAATGGTTAACTTATAAACAAAAAGATTATTATTGTCAAAATCATTCTAATTTCATTTATATTTAAAAACAAAATGTTAGTCATATACAAATGAAAATTATTGTCTGGAAATCGCTTGAGTCGAAATTCTGTTTGATTCAAAATGATTTCCAAGTCCTGATTATGCTCCTTCTTCGTCCTTGTAATTTTAGTTTGGATGACTGAAATTTCGTTGAGTTGAAATTTCGTTTTTAGTTGAAGTAATTTGTTCACTCCCTTCAATTGTAAAGCAAGAGAAAGGTAATTTGTTGTCTCGAAATTAATTTTTGTCAAAACATTGGCATGTCCTCTGAAGAAATCGGTCAATACCTACACAGAGTCGAATGTGACCTGTGGGTAACACATGGCTAATTATGGCCTATCAGTCCATCGTACACACAACACTTGGTCTCTGACAATTAATTACCAGTTTAGTTATCCAATTAAATGTTGTCTTCTTAATTAGTGTAACTATCCTGTAGCAATGACTTACTTTATGTTAAACAAGGAGAGCATTTATACAAGACATGAACACATTTAGCTTGGTTGCATGCTTCTTTAGGAATGAAAAAAAGAAACTGTCTAACCAGATAAATGCACAAAAAAAATAAGAAAAAAGAAATATATTTGTTTCTGTTTATTTACAGTGATTTCAAATAACAGATTAGATTATGTTGTTTGTACCATGGAGTACTTTCCAGTTGTAGCTCATACCATAATCTTTATCAGAAAACTGATATTGTCAACCTTATTCAGACATTCTGTTTTCATCGAAATTCTGCTAAGTCAACATATTTTCAAGAGTCCCTTGAATTGTGAGATAACGAATGTTGACTGTATGTTTGTTGAAATCTTTCTACAGAGATTAGTAAGTTCTAAATTAACAGTATTTAATCAGTGACAATCTTCACATACATTTTGGAAATCAGACTTTACATACAACATTGAACAAAACATTAACTATGCAGGCCTAATAGACCTTTTCTTTTAGAAGGAGTAAATATTTGCTCATTTCTGCCTGTAGCTGTTATCCGTATGTCCTATACAACTATCAGCAAAGCCATTCTGATGGCCATATGTTGTATTGATTTACTGATAAGGGTATAAGCACCTGATTCACAACACTGCCTTGATTAGGTAGAACCTGGATTTTTAGGTCGCCTGAGCCGAAGGCCATTATGATTTGTCTGTTTTGTGCGTTGTTAACTTTTCACATATTCGACTTCTTCTCAAGAACCACTAAATGGATTTTGACCAAACTTGGCACAAAGCATCCCCATGGTTAGCCGCTTCAAGTTTGCAAAGAAAAAGGGCGTGGTCCCAATAGGCGCCCCAGGAGGGGGAAAAGGGGGGTAAAATTAGGTAAATCTTCAAAAATCTTCTTCTCATGAACCAACAGTCAGATTAAATTCATATTTGATATTTAGGGTCCTTATGGCAAGGTCTACAAAGCTGAAAAAAAATCGGGTCAAAAACGGCCCCACTAGGGGGCACTCACAAGGGTCAAAAATTCAACTTTGACCGATTTCAACCAGATTTGGTAGAAAGTATCCCTTAGTGAAGGACATAAGACATTATGTTGAAAAAAATGATTATGTCCCCTTTGGGGCCCAGAAGGGGTGTAAAAGGGGCCATATGTAAAAACCTTCTTTAAATGACTTCTTCTCAAGAACCAGTGGATGGATTTTGACCAAACTTGAGACAAAGCATCCCCATGGGAAGGCGCTTCAAATTTGCAAAGAAAAAGGATGTGGCCTTAATAGGGGCCGCAGGAGGGGGAAAAAGGGGTAAAATTAGGTAAATCTTCAAAAATCTTTTTCTCATGAACCAACAGTCAGATTAAATTCATATTTGATATTTAGGGTCCTTATAGCAAGGTCTACAAAGTTTGCGAATGAAAAAGAAAAAATTGGGTCAAAAACGGCCCCACTAGGGGGCGCTCAAAAGGGTCAAAAATTCAACTTTGACCGATTTCAACCAAATTTGGTAGAAAGTATCCCTTATTGAAGGAAATATGAAATTATGTTAAAAAAAAATGAAAATGATTATGTCCCCTTTGGGGCCCAGAAGGGGTGTAAAAGGGGCCATATATAAAAACCTTCTTTAAATGACTTCTTCTCAAGAACCAGTGGATGGATTTTGACCAAACATGGCACAAAGTATCCCCATGGGAAGGCGCTTCAAGTTTGTGAAGAAAAAGTGCGTGGCATCAATAGGGGCCCAAGGAGGGGGGAAAAGGGGAAACTTGATACGAATGTTCTACACAAGGTCCTGGCAAGTTTTTTTTTAACTTTTTGGGGGCGATTCAAAATCCAAGATGGCCACCCTGGCCTCTGTTTGGCTAAGACATTATGGACTTCCTCTCAAGAACCATTGGATGGGTCATGTTCAAACTTGGTACAGATGTTTTACACTTGGTCCTGCACAAGTGTTGTTACATTTTGTAACATTTTAAAATCCCCATATTATTGACATATATTCCTCAGGTGACCATTAAGGCTCCTTGGGCCTCTTGTCTATAATTAATGGTAATGTTTACACTGATCATGATGCTTTAATTAATTACTTTTTCTACAATTAATTAATTTGTCTATAAATATTAGTAAATTTAAGCTAGAAAAAGGTTTTAAACACAAGTTTATACAAGGCAACATTAAACCCCACTGTACCACAGGAAACCAAAATAGCAGGACATTGTATGATATCATACTGAAACATGTTTGTGAAAGGTTACATGGTCAGAACTCAAATTGTATAACAATAACTTGAAGTTATAGGTAAGTGATAAAAGTATTAAATTAATTGATGCAAGCTTCAGGAATGAGAAAGGCTAATGCTACCATAATTCATCTGTTTACCATTCATTCATCCTAAAATGATAGGGGGCTAGGGTCAAGACCTTAGATGATAGGGGCCAGGGTTCAGACCTCAGGTGATAGGGTCCAGGGTCCAGACCTAAGATGATATGGGCCAGGGTCCAGACCTAAGATGATAGGGGCCTGTGTCTAGACCTAAGATGATATGGGCCCGTGTCCAGACCTAAGATGATAGGGGCCTGTGTCCAGACCTATGATGATAGGGTCTAGAGTCCAGACCTAAGATGATAGGGGCCTGTGTCCAGACCTATGATGATAGGGTCTAGAGTCCAGACCTATGATGATAGGGGCCTGTGTCCAGACCTATGATGATAGGGCAGTGTTCCCACTCACTTTTCAAACTGGGGGTATTCATACCCCCACCTTCCAAAAACTGGGGGTATGAAGTTAAAAAGTGGG